GCAAATGTAAGATTTTGGTGTTTTGCTAATAAGCCATGTATAGCCCAATTAAAAGCCAAATTTTCGTGGTGTCATCCATTAGACCATATAGCTATGGAAGGGTGACAAGCAGCTAATGGTTTTCTTCCCTCGTATTGCACTCAAAAGGGAGACATCTTCATCACTGCCTTGGCACCAATGTTAGTGTTGCAGGATTTCTACAGGATAAGTCATAATCTTCATCACTAAACTTGGAATGGTAATATCAGATTTATTTGTGTAAAATCATGCTTTAGATCTATTGGGCTTGTCTTCTCTCAGCCCTCAGTATAAATTGAGGTCTCTGTTGAGCAGATTTTCCTTCAAAAGTCCCAACTCAGAGGCGAAACAGAGATGGGAATTTCTAAAGGGTGGTTGCCCCTCTCGTTTTAGCCAATGACCATTCATAAAAATCAACAGCTCTTTTATGCTTCCTGTATCTGTATTTGTTCTATGTGCGTAACTAGTATAATTGGAAAAAAGAGTATATATCATCAGCAGTCACTGAACTTTCAGCGTAATCTTAACTGGGTTACTGAACATTAATTTAGTTAACACGTGTAGGCTGTGAGGAATATTTTCTTTTAGTTGGGTCGAGCATGGGAAAACAGGACCGGTATCTTGGCAGGGCGAACCTTAATGGCTCTGTGAGGAGGGAGGTTGACGGTGTTCTCTCTTTTTCTTTCACATGCAACTGGGCTTTTGCAACCATGGCCGTGTCTCATTCTCTTTGCTTCTATTTTCAAATCTGAGCCTAAAGTGAACTTTATAAGCTTTTCCAAACACGCTTTAGGATTCGTTTAGCATGGCTTTTGCTTCTTGATGTTCTTGAGAAAGCTACTTTAATTAGTGCCTAAAAACTAATTTCCAAAAGATCCCCCCCCCNNNAACTAGAAGCACTTTTATGAAATTAACCATAAGAGTCCAAAAGCAGTTTTTGTTCTTAAAAGTAAGGTTTGACTTTTCGAAAGTCATGCCAAATGGATCCAAGTCTTGCTTGCTAAAATTCAAACTCAAGAATAAGGCAAAGGTGGGATTGCATATTTCTGAAGGGTGGCTGTTCTCTCTTTTGGCCATTGATTTCACAAAGAACAGATCAACAACCCTTTTTATGCCAGCAGTTGTTAATTGAAATCATTTCCCAGTATGTGACTGTGTTTTCCGGCAGAAAGAATGGCTTATAAAGTAAGGTTAGTTAAGCTTAAGCCAAACATGCTCTGTGATTGGATTCCTAACAATTCTGCTTTTGCCTTTTCTGTCCTCTCCGTAGGCTATGATGATGAGTTTCTTGAGTTGGGCTGGGCATGAAAAAATTCTGCTACATGGGCCAATGATGTACATTAATTTTTCCTGAATATGGCTAAATATTGCGGTTTTAGATTTTTAAGTTACAGTAGAATTTCATAGAGTTCTAATATAGGTACAATGAACTCATTCAACTTAGATGCCTAGGTGAGGACGAAATGAAAATAATGACACAGAAGCAAATCTTTTCTGGTATAGTATTTGTGGAGGAAAAATTATATGTGGTCTACTAAGTTGGTAGCAATTCATATATTGAGAGGCCTATAATGCGCTTTTTGAAGTCGGAATTGATTGAAACAAGATATTGGCAAAAATTGAAAAGGTCAAAACAAAGGTGAGAAAGAGACTAGTCCTGCCATTTGGTTTTTAAATTTTGTCACTATCTATCAGTAAACAAAAATTATAATCAGGTGAGATTTGAGAAATTGTTTGATTTCATTTTCAACTTTCACTAGTTATACTTAGTTGATGTGTGCATGCATTTTGCAGTTTCAGTTCAGTTCGTGCCAATTGCACATCTTCGAAAGGTCTGTGCAAGTCATGTCGCACACTTCATCGAGATGTTCTCTTCTGTTTACTCTGTTCTTGGATTTTTTTTCTATTACGACATTTGTGTTGAAAGGTTAATGAAATTGGACCAAATATATAAAATCCATGTGGTAGGCTTTCTTACACCTGGAAAGTTTTATATATTTGACTTGTCCTTATCACAACTATGCACATGATCTACCATGCTGGTTATTGTTATGTATATCTGTGAATTGCAAGAGGATATGCATGTATTATAGCGAAGCAATGCGAGCATGAATAACAAAAGAGTCAAATGGTCTGCTACACTATAATTTAATTATGAGCATGTTGCAAGCTGAAAAGGCCTGTTTCCATTTAATAATAATAAATAAGGTAAGCTTTATAATTCCAACCTAGTAAAGGGTCAAGGCAAAGGGCTTCGTCATTTTGAGTAGCATCTAGATTTCATACGAGATTGCATGTTGACATGTTTATAGCTGGGTTCTAATGTTCGGAGCCAACTAACTTTTATTTGATTTCAGTTTTAAATTTGTTTTGGAAGTCTCCTGTAGAATCAAGGGGCACTGACAGAGACTATTTTCCTGTTCATTCATGCATATTATTGGATAGGACGAGATATGGTTCACTAATTTGAGATCATGATGGTGCGGAGGTCTTGTTTTCTGGCTATGCTTTGTGCTTTATAACTATCATCATCTTCTTTACTGATTGTGCAATTTCTTGAATGCAGAAACGAGCCACTTCTTGAACTTCATCCATCTTGTATCAAGATAGCGCCTAGGTATATGTTCTGTTGGCAGTTCTGTTTCATTGGATTGAAATTTCCGTTTCATTTACAACTTCTCACATCATCTCATTATTATCTTTTTGGTTCTTTACTTTTTCTTACAATTGTGATTGTCATTGTTTTAGATGTGGCATGGAATCTGAAAGGTAAACACACAACGATTGTGAATGATCAAGAGGGCAGATTGATTACATTAAGAAGACAAACTGAGTAGATGGTGGAGCAGTTCCCTTGTCTGCATGAGATACGAGGCATATCTCCTCAGCCAATGGTTTAAAATAGCTTTGACAGCGCAAATAACTTAAATAATCATAAATTATTCTATCTTACCAATTTAAGAATAATGAAGACAATATATTTATTTATTTATTTTTATTATTATTTTTTTCAATTCCTCGACCAGCCAAAATTTTTAAAAAATGTTCCTGATTGCTAATTATTTATATTTTCTTAAAATGCAGATGAAGAACCTTGAGATTTGGTAAATTAATCCATTTTGTATGCTATAATTAATTTTTAAAAGCCAAGGGTTGTGCACTCGAATATTTTACTTGGAACCTGGACGACACGCATAACTATCTTATTTTTTTCCATCCCATAAAGCTACGCCTAATTGCTTCCATATCCAAGAACTGACTCATATACCGTCATTCTTGTACGTCGCAAGGTGAAATTTATTTATTTGGGGCTGCAATTGTACTGAGAGGGTTTTCTCGATATTTGGCAAGGTCGACGTAGAAATTTTTAGTTAGGGGACATAGTCAAATTTTGTACAAATCGAATACTTTGTTAATGATTTTTGATTGATTTATACTTGATCTGAGAAAATGTAGATTTATATTTATAAAACATTTCTTCATTAATATTTTGCTCATAATTTTCATCCATTTGATTTCGCAGAATCATTTTATTAATATTTTACTCATTACAAGAAAATTCATATTATATTTAAAAAAATTATAGTGTATTTAATACTTTAATCAATTCAAATGATCGAAAGAAAAAATATATAATCAATACTCAATCAAATAAATAAAATTCGTTAAATTGAATATAGTCATTTCAGACACATTATATGTACACAAATAGGATAGGAGAAAATGTAAATTTATAATTTAATTAATTGAAAATTTGTAGTAAATGTGATAACTTGTAGAAAAATTATAAACAAATTTTAAAAAATTAGAAGGGTTAAGGTTTTGGTAAAATGTGTGAAGGGGAGAGTAAAATAGAGTAAGAGAAAAGGAAAAAAAATTATTGTGATTTTGTCCCTATTTAGCGAGGGTTAAAATCAAATTTTTAATAAATTTTGATAAAAGTTAAAAAGTTAAGGATTTCATGAAATATGTTATTAAAATTAATTATTAACTTTAATTTAGATTAAAATTTATATTTCAATCGATATCAAATAGGACTTATCGAAAAAAATGTAATCTCAAAAATTGAGGCGTCACTTGACCTGCATGAACCCCTTGGGTCCGCCCCTTATTTGGTATCTTATAACAGATTTTGCTGATCTTTAGCTCATTGCATGAGGTTTAATCAACTTTCATACATAATTGGAAAAATTTTATAATTAAGAGGATAACTATTATCTATTTCAAAAGTAAGAATAAAAGTTTTAAATTTCAAAAATAAAATATTCATTAAAATTAATTTATAATTTTATTAATTAAATATGTTAAGATTACAGATCTATACAATTTGGTTATAGATTTACAATTTAATTAGTCACATATTATTTTTCGATCACAAATCAAAATTTTCATAATGTCACAAATTATTTTACGATCACAATTCAAAACTTTTGTAGATCACAATTTGTTCGTCGGTCACAGATAAAAGATTTATGCATCACAATTAATTTATAGGTCACATATCACAAATATTATAGATCACAAATTATTAATTTTTAGGACACATTATTTTTTGTCACAATTTATTTTTTCTTATTGGTCATAAATTAACCAATTTAATGGTCACAATCAACCAATTAATCTGTAATTACCACCAAACAACCACTGCCTCCCGTATCACCACCGTCACCGTTACCGTCAGAACCACCACCCTACAATAACACCACTGTCTCAAACAAAATCAGCACATCCACCTCGATAGACTACAGCCATGCACCCACTACTACGAACATCACCATCTACCGCCACCCTCAAAACATGGAAGCTACCACCACCACACTCTTTACAATCGGAAACCACCACAATTGTCGTATCCAAACACCACCAAAAATCAACTCCAACATTATCACGGCCATCGCCACAACCACACCAATACCATTGTCGCTGTCGCAACACCACAACCATCACCACCGCCATCTCACCATCATGGTACAACAACTATAGAACTCCACAAATCCACCATACTACAACCAGAACTCTACCATGCTCCACTGCCACTATGATCGCAACCGCCGTCGCAGCCAATCCATAGCTACAACCATCGACGGTGAAGACAGATCATTGTGATGTGAGCGACATGCACGACGTAGCATGGCAGCGCACTGCAGATCTGATGCTAAAATAGATGAGGCCATAGATCGTGCTGCCATGCAGGCGGCCGCACCTCAACTTCATCAGTTTGAAGGGCGGCAATGCTTCTGATGCCGAAGTTGTATTGTCGGGAAAGGGTTGAGAGAAAGAGAGAGAGAGGAGGTGGCTGGTTTTTTTGAGGGAGAATGGAGAAATGTGAGAGATAGAATTAGGGTTTGTGAGTAAAAATATTTATTTTACAAAAATATTAATTAAAATAAAATTTCTGATTTTTAAAATGTTAAACTTTCCCCCCGATTTTAGAATTCATAATTTTAATACTAGGATTTTGTGTAATTTTCACTACATACTTTCCTCTTGGGCCTAGCAAGGCTTTATGATGTTTGAGCGATGGAAATTATATACTACTAGAGTTAAACTTTTCAATTTAAAAATAAGATTCACATGTTGTTGTTTTTTTTTTAAGTTTTAAATATTATTATTATATTCAAAATTTAAATTAGTCTACCTAACCTCACGCTACCCCACAACCCCAATTTGATTTCTTCCCAAATCTTAAAAGTCATTTCAACTTTCTTCCCCTCTCTCCATCTTCTCTCTTCTCACAAACCAACGCACCATTGTGGTTGTCCCTGCCACCCCTCTCTAATCCGACAATGCCGCTTTCTTCTCTTGTATCTGTCTATACTTGTATCTCCCCGATTCTGTAATTGTCAACACAATTGTCTGCAATCTATGATAGTTCCTCTCATTCTTCTCCACCGACAACGTAGTCTCGCACCCTTTCCGCGTGATGTGTCCTATACACCTCTGCTCTCTCTCCTCCATCACCCGAGTGTTGCTCTCCCTCCCCACCAAACGTGCGGAGCAGCCTGTGACTGTCACAGCTCGTAGCTTAAAGCGGCATCACAACAAAGCTATGTCTCTGGATGTGAGAGAGGACCTCTCTACACTGGATTAGAGTGGTGACCATTACATCGCAGATGAATTTTGGGTCTCGATTTGGGGTCGTAGTGGTGACACTGATAAATTTGGATCCGATTTTTATGGTATGTTATCAGTCACAATTTAACAATTTTTTTAAGTTACATATTATTTATTAATCACACGTTAAACAAATTTTTTTGTCACAATCAATCAAATAATTTGTGATTATCGTCGCCGCCACAGCCATCGCCATGTCATTGCCAACACAAACACCAAACCCACCACCACCACCAACATTAACACTACCTCATTAGCATCGCCAATATCACCACCACTCACCATCATATTTTAATATTTTGTGATCAACGAATTATATGTGACATTAATTTGATAAATTTGTAATCAATAAATAAGTTGTGATTTATAAAATTTATGATTTGTGACTGTGACATTTGTAAATGTGATTAAAACATAATTGTAATAATAATATATATAAATTTGTGACATTAATATATTTAATTAAAGAAATATGTTTTTAATTAATTATTTCATAAATAAAATTTAATTAATTTATGATTTTTGAAATAATAAATCTTGTTTCCTGGTTTTAAAATGGATCATACTTAATCTCTTATATATGAAATTTTCTAGTTTGAGCACCTACGCTTGGCTTAAGCCTCCTGCGTGTTGGCATCTCACACTTAATTTTGTTCAAGTGTTAAATATAATCCAAAATCTTTGATTTACTCCACAGTACATGAGTTGGCCTCATTATTAAAGGTAATGCTCAGCTTCATTATTGAGGCATGTGTGTCGACCTCATCACTTAAGGCTTCATCTCTCAGGCTAGGACATATGAGGATCGACTACCACATCTTTAAGGCGTTAGTATTGAACTTGTCACTAAAAAGCAACGCCTAGCCTAAAGCTTCATCACTTAAGCTAGAACTTAGAAGGGGTCAACCCATCCTTGAGTGGTAGGCTTCATCCTCATTGAGCCTCGTCCATCTTGAGGGGTTGGACTCATTCTTGAGGGTTCAACCTCATCTTTGAGGAGCAGACATTATTCTTGATAGGAAAGCTCGTCCTTGAATTGAAGGATAGGCTTTATCATTGACGGGTAGCATCGTTCTTGAGGGGTAGGTATCATTCTTGATGGGCAAGCCTCGTCCTTGATTTGTCCATGCAAATCTACGACATAGTTCTTATGTGGCAACAATCCACACGTGGCATCAACTAAGACCTCTTGTAAGATGGATGCATAATGTTTCACCATAAGATCCATCAACAAACAAGTTCCAGATTTGGGGGTCTGACGACTCTACATCCATGTTGATGTCTTGAGACTCGACGAACTCTGCTATAAAATTTGCCAATGCTTGCCCATTCACCGAAGCCCTTGGTTTGTACGAGATATCAAACTTGCTCAATTCCACTGCCCATTTCATTAACCTACTCGATGCATCCGGTTTCTGTAGGATTTTTTTAAGCAGGAGGTTCGTTAGCACCTGTATGCTGTGGGCTTGAAAATACAGCCTCAACTTTTTGAAAGCAATCATTAGGGAGAAGGCGAGCTTCTCCATATCAGTGTACATTGACTTTGCGGGTGAAAGGGCCTTGCTCACATAGTAAACTGGTAGTTATGTGCCACCTTTTTCTTTCAGAAGTACTGAACTTACAACCTCTGTTGATACAGCTAAGTATAATATTAAAGCCTTTTCTTCTTTGGGTTTCGAGAGAGAAGACTTCTCCTAGGTGCTTCTTCAGCCCTTAGAGAGCTGTTTCACACTCCTCATTCCATTGTTATACCTCTTCTAACAAGGCCCTAGATGTGACCCATGTGCAGTTGAAACCATATAGACGAGACCCACGTATGCAAACCAGGTGGTCGAATCATATGGCCGAACCTA